CTCTCTCTCTCTCTCTCTATGTAATAAATTTTATACATGTATTAATTAACATTTAGATACAGTTATTAAATATAACGGAACGCATAGCCAAAAACAGAATAGGATTTTATTGTTGGAAATTATTTATTATAAACCGTTTTCGTGGATATGAAGTAAGCATTTAATATTTTATGGAACTTTTAATTAATTAATAATTTGTGTTAATTGTTAACAGATCATTTCAATTATCACTGTATATTACTTATCAATTGCGAAGCATCAGGTTAATTCAAATGTAATAAATTAACAGACTTTTCTAATTATTGATATATAAAATTAATTTTATATTAAAGTGTACTATAAATTATATTATTTAATGATTGACCCAAACGGAGATAATAATTGAATTAATTTCAAGTTATAACAAATTCATGTGTGTCTAAAACTCATACATAAAACTTATACTCAAACATCATCAAGATCAATTTTATTGTGATTGCAATGTCAGAAGTCTTAAAAATATTTGTTGTGATAATGTTATGCACATGAATCTCAGGGGCGTATATAATTGCGGTATGATTCTTGTTTTATATAAAATAAATACAAATTAAATTATAATGTCTAAATTATATTAAAAATTAATAAAATTATAGATATTTATTATGTAGTAATTTTTTAAAATAATCTTATTGTTAAATAGAATTTTTAAAAGTAATAAATATAGCACATTGAAACATTAAATATAAATTATTAAAATGTCTATATAATTTTTTGGTTTTTAATGTAAATGATGCTCATTATTACTAAGAGTGTCCAGGGTTGCCAGGATGTTCAGGGTCCAAATGGATGCAAGAAATGCAAAATAGACCAAATCATGGATTTTAATTTTATTTTCCAGTAATATTTATGTAATTTATAAATGTTATTTTGTTTACATACATTACTGTACAATATACAGTCTGCATAATAAAGCATTGCAATTTTTAAAAATAGTGCTTTGATAGATTATATCAGTTTATTATTATCCATGATAAATTCAATGACAAATCCAGCATGTGTATTACATTAAATTTGCAGTTTTTTAAATAATAACTTATAATATAAGTTATTATATTTTAATTAATTAAAAATCTATTATTTTGTTGCTATTTTTAAAACAATAAAACATATCATTAAATATTTGAAAATAATTTTAATTTCAATGACATTTCTTTGGCAATAAATGAAAATTAAATAAAAATTTATGTATCACTTCGATAGAGAGAGAGAGAGAGAGAGAGAGAGAGAGAGAGAGAGAGAGAGAGAGAGAGAGAGAGAGAGAGAGAGAGAGAG